GTGGTGGTCAGGGTCTTGTCCCTACATGGAAGAGAATGTGCAGTGAGCTCCTTGGGGGAAGGAAGCTGGGCGAGGGGAGCTGCGACCCCCAGGCCCCAGAGCAGCTCTGAGAAGACACGTGTCTGCGAAGGGTCTCAGGTCCCAGAGGGAGGCTGTGGCAGGTGCCCGGATGCAGCAGCCCACACGACTCCACCCACAGACACCACACCACTGTGCGGCCGAGGCCCTAACCAGGCCATTGCACCCTCGCAGGAACCCAAGACGCGAAGACAGACGATCCTGTCTGCCGCTCCCCATCCTGTGTCAGGCGCTGAGAACAAGGACAAGGAAATCAGGGCACGGTCAGGGCAAGGAGGGACAGGACAAAGACGGCTTTGCACAGGAAGCCCTGGCCTGACCCTGGCCTCAGTCCTTTGAGGGAGGTGGGCTGCACAAGGGGGGCGACTTAGCTGTCAGTTCCAGCTAGGTTGTCATGGCTCTCTGGAGCCACATCCCTCCAGGCTCAGCAAGAAGTGCTGCCATCAATTAGCAACATCTGCCGCAAGCACAGAGGGGTGGGGGGCGTAGATGCCCACCTCAGAATTTGCCACCCCTTCTGTCACCTCTTCTCAGCCCTCAGCACAGAGCAGGGACTAAATAAAGGTTCACGGGTTCACTGTTGGTTCCTAACAAGGTCAGGGCAGTCACCTGGCGTTGCCATTTGTGGCGAGGGAAACATGAACACATGGCCTCTTTACTTTTGTATTTGCAAAAGCCAGGAGGGGAACGGGGAGAGGAGAATGGGAGTGAATGACAGGAGCAAATGAGAAGCGAGGTGCCCAGGAGGACTCCCTGGCAGAGCAGACTGAGACCCTGGACCAAGGGCCCAGGGAAGGCAGGGCACTGCCCTCAGCAGTCAGCAGGGACCAGGAGTTTTCCAAGGCAGAGTCCGGAGATCAACTTAGGCCAGGCGCAGGCGGTAAGGCCCTGTGCTACAGGAGGCCAGGCCCAAGCCGTGGGCCCAGGGTGGTGTGAGGGTCACGGAGTCCTCGGTGGGACCCCCGACCTCACACGGCTTCCCAGGCTGTGGGTGCCGGAGCAGGCAGGGAAGGCAGGATGTTCCTGCAGGGCTGAGAAACCCAGGGGGGACGGCAGGGCTGGGCTGAGGGGGCCGACTGTGGGGCAGCCGGCCGGTGGGTGCCTACTCTGGACCTCTTGGAGGTCCACCCCGTGAGGCCACGGAGTCAGGGCCCGTACAAGCCTTCACAGCTGGGAAATGAGCCTCCAGAGGGAGTCTCTGTCCTTCCTGATGCAGCCACACCATCACTGTCTGGCTTCGCCCGGCCAGTTCCCAGCTCTCCCAGCCCTGCTCCTGTGGCTTTGGAGGCAGCCTGGCCTGGTGGTTGTGAACTCTGGCCTGGAATGCAGAGCAGTCCGGGGTGTGAGGCTCTGTTTGGCCACCACCTGGCCGTGTGACAATGGGTGTGTCATTCAGCTTCTCTGGGCTTCGGTCTCCCCTCCTATAAAATGGGGCTGATGGTGGTGCCCCCACAGTAAGGGCTTGGTTGGTGGGAAGCCAGTGAGTTACAGAACAGCAAGTGTTAGTTCAGGGCCCGGTGAGTGGTGGGCACTTGTGTGAGAGCTGGAATTACCGTCCTTCGTTTGATGCTAATCTGAGACAAATTCACATTGTCCACATCCTCTGCAAAGTCCGAATTCACCTGGATCTCCAGGGGACCCCTTCCAGTATTGGTAGGCATATAGGCTGGTGGAAGGCCCTGGAACTGGGAATTTGGGATGCCCTGAACTGGAAGGCCTGGGGCAGAGCAAGATGGGGTGGGCAGGGCTTGCCTGCAGCCCTGGGGCCCTGGGCCTGCCCAGCTCTAGGCTGTGGGCAGAGCCAGCCATCCAGGCCACCTCTCATTACCTTCTGGCAGGGCTCTGCGGCCCTGGGCAGGAGTAGCAATTGTCAAGTTTTATTTTGATGCCTGGACAGCGCCCTTGGGCAGCCTGACACCAGCTGGCCACTGCTGGCCACAGATAAAGGTTGAGTTTGTTGGGGAGGAGGTCCTTCCCAGGAGGCTGGACCTCTGAGTGCAGGGTCAAGGGTTCATGATCCTGCAGTCTCCACGGACCCACCTCTGCCCAGGCCCTGGGGGCAGAGGCTACTCTGGGGAGCCTGGGGCTGCTGGCAAAGCCATTGGGGAGCACTGTAGGGCCTCTGGGCACACTGTGAAGCCAGAGTGTGGAGCAGGCAGGCGGAGCTGGGGCCTCCCAGCCGTCTCCCATTCTTGCAGTTCTCCCCTCTTCCCCTCCCCTTAGCCACCCAGGACTTTGAATCATTTGGGAAGATGCTGGCATGACGTCCATGGGGACAGCTTGGAGTGAGGGTGCCTCAAGGGCGCACCCTGAGCCTGGCCACCCCTGGAGTCCACGCACCCCGGCTGGCTGGACCTGGCCTTCTCTCGCCCTCCCACGTGCACTTGCACTCGCACGCCCTCCTGCCCTGCGGCCCCCACCCCAGACCTCTCCCACACAGGAGTGCCTGCACACTCAGCCAGCCGGCATCCACAGGGCGATGAAGGAGGTACTGGCGACTTCCCACGCCAAGCTTCCTTCTCCTGAAGCAGTGAGAGGGGAGCTGCAGGAGTCAGGCTGTGGGGGAAGAGATCTGTGTGTGACTGAGTGCTTGGGCTCACATGCAGCCATTAGCACAGGCGGGCCACCCCCAGCTACTTAACCACGCACTGCAGCTCCTGAATCTTTTGTGTACATGTGCCCTGACTGCACCTTTCTCCCCATGGAAGAGCTGGGGGGTCTCCAGATCCCCAGAGGGACTCCCAGGCCAGAGCCTGCCAGGCTACAGTGTAGTACTGGGAGCCCCAGTGTCCTGGGCCAACCCCTGCCAGCCTGACTTCAATGAAGCCAGCGTCCCCCACCCCTCCCAGCCCTTTACCACATGGCAGCCCGAGGCCCCAGGGAAGCCAGCAAATATCTGGTGGACTAATGCTGCTGACACCTGTCTGGGCACAGGGGTGCCAGGTGGGAAAGCCAGCGTCCACTAAGGCCCTCACAGTGTGGGGGCCATGGGTGTGGTGGCACAGGGAGTGATTGGGAGGGGAGGACCAACCCCTAGGGGGTGACCATGCAGCCAGGGAAGGAACAAGGACATAGGGGGTCTCAGGCTAAAACTCCGGGCCCCAAGAAAGTCACATGCCAGAACAAGAGCACCAGGGAGCCCAGAGCCCCATAGATGAAGGTGCCAGGGTTGACATGGGTGTATGAGGTGGCCCAGGAGCCCCTGCCCACACCCACACCCTCACCACGAGGCTACTGGTCAGAGTCCCAGCAGCCACTGGTCAAGGCTGAGCAAAGGTCAAAAGGCAAAGACTGGCAGAGGCTCCCTGGACTCACGGCCACGTGTGCCTCTCCTGTGGGCAAGCCTCATGCCCATGCAAAAGGCGGTGACCAGCTGCGGGCACTCCCTGGGGGCAGAAGCTGGGCACTGGGCAGGTGGAGACCTGGGCTCTGTCTCCACCCCTGCACTGCCAGCACCATTACCAGCGGTGAGAGGCACCCTGGCCCCTGCCCTGCTGGCCCCCAGGCGGCGTGCATATGAGTAACACAGTGCATGCCCTCCTTCATCTCTCCAGTAAGGTCTTGCAGCAGGCATTCCTGCCTCCAGGGTTTGCGCCTGAGTTTCTGGGCTGCCTGGCATGGGGAACCCCACAGGGGTATGGGAGGGAAGCAGAGCCCTGGAGGACAGAGACCCAGGCATGCGGTCCCAGGGAGGCAGGAGCCCATCTCTACCTGGAAGAGGAAAGCCAGTGCCAGGCCTCCCGAACCACGTGAGACTCCACCTCCTCTTCTGGCAGGGACACGGGCCAAAGTCCAGGCTGCCATCTGGGCCTGGCCCGAGCAGTCTGACAAAACATCTGCCCTGTTCTGGCTTTTAGAAATGTCCTGGCTGTGCCCCTGTCAGAGATAACTGGCAAGCAGAAGTGGCCCCCACAGCATCCGCCCTTTGTGCAGGGAAGGGTCGGTCGGGGACGTCTGCAGGACAGATGGACAAGCTGGGCCCTGGGCTCCCACCTCAGTCTCCTCCGGCAACTTGTGTGCCCTTGGGTGGGGACTCACCCGAGCCTCAGTCTCCCTGGTCCCTGCCCTGCTGTTCCCCAGGCGGCGTGCATATGTGTAACAGAGGGTATGGGATCAGCACGCCTGCTCTACCCAAGGGCAGGAAGTTAGTTAGGCAGCAATCAGGGGGCTCTCCACGGTGCCTGGGGGAGGCTCCTGGCCAAGGGGTCAGGAGAAGGTGTGGCTGTCAGAACAGCGGGGCCTGCTCATCCTAGTGGAAACTCAGTAAGTACCATTCTCCTTTGTAGAGCAGGACCCTTCAGGAAGTCAGAGGCACGGCAGCGCGAGCCCCCAGCCCCATGGCGCCTGTCCGGCCGTCTCCTCAGGCCTGCCCGTTGTGGGGGGGACCTGTGTAAGCCTTAATTCCACCACCACCCCCTGACGCACACTCGCCACCTGTCTGCACTCGGCCCAGTGGCTGGTTCTCCTCCAGCAGCTTCACCTCACGCCTACGTGCCCTCAGGAAGACTCAGCGCCCTGGGCCCGCTCTCAGCTGCCAAGGTTCCCTCTGAGCAGCGCTCGGCTCAAGCACCTGGCTCGGTGGGGGAGGCTGAGAGTCCCGGCAACCGGAGGCCTGGAAGCCCTTGGGCCGCAGATGTAGGGGACAGTTGGTGGTGCCAGCCCCCCAGGTGAGGCACTACGAGGCAGGCGGGGAGGGGCGGCAGCAGTCACCCAGAGGTGCCCTGGATGGCCCCCACCCTCCCTTCCTCCTGGTGACCCTGCTCACTTTTTTTCAGAGACCTGGGGGCTGAGGGAGGGCATTGGGCTGGCGCTTAGCAGCTGGTCAGGGATGGGTGGGGGAGCAGAAGGACCATCCCCCAAACCCTGGGTGGAGTCGTCCAGGGAGAGAGGATACACTGCCCTGATGACTGAGATCTGCCTAACCTGGTACAAGGGGTTAGGGAAGACATCCTGGAGGAGGTGGTAACTAAACTAGGACCTACCTGAAGACGGAGAAGCAGTTAGCTAGGCATGGTGTGCCAAGCAAAGAGAACAGCGTGGGCAAAAGGCCAGAGGTGAGAATTGCAGGATGTTGTCCGGTAGGAGCTTGGAGAAGTTGCTCTCACTGGAGCTGGGGGTGCTGGCAGGGGCAGGGGGGCAGGGGCTGCACCATGCTCGGTCTGATGGCCGTGCGCTGACTCCCTCCTTTCTCCTGAGATCCATGGCCAGTGTTGGGCTGGGAGCGAGGCCTCCTCCACGTTTTAGGAGGATTGTGAGGCTGCTGCGAGGAGAAAGAATGGTTGCGGTGAGAGGTCCTAAGAAAACTGCAGGTGGCCAGACAGAGATACTGGTGGCCTTGGCCAGGGTGGTAGCAGTGGGGACAAGTGAATGGAGAAGTCCAGGACAGGGAAGCGCAGCACTGAGATGGAGCAGAAGGCTGTCCGTGCAGGCCCGCCTGGATCCCTCCCGGGGCTGGGAGCCCTTCCTCCCCTCCCCCTCTCAGGGCAGAGTTCATTTTCCTCCCTTAGTACCACAGCTGTGCCATGCACACCCACACAGCCACCCCACAGTAACTTCTTGGCCACCTGGGGGTGGTAGAGGCTTGCTTGGGGCCTTCTACTCTAGATGCCAGAGGCTTCCTGTGTTATGGAAGGAGGGGGCTTGGGTTCCGGTGCCCACCCTGGGGAGGCCTGGTGCTGCTGGAGTCAGCTGGCCTGAGTCCTCACCCCACTGGTCTAGAGTTGGGGCATAAAGGGCCCTACATGGGGCCCGTATGAGGGCTTAGACGGTGTGCCCCAGCCCTTGACTCAAACGCCACCCCCTATCTGGAAATTCCAGCCATCTTCCTCCCCTCCCTCCACTGCCCTGGAACGAGTGCCTGGTGCCCACAGGCCCTGAGGGACTGGCCGGGAACTGGCTGTGTTTCTAGCCCCAAGGCTCACCATTCCAGCTGCCCGGGCCTGCCTGACAGCCTGGCCACCTGCCTAGCCACTGTGGCCAAAATGGCCACAGCCTGTGCCCACAGAAGCCTGTGGGCAGAGGCAGGGCCCAGGCGTGTGAAGGTGGTGGGGTGGGTAGTAGCCTGAGGGTGAGTCTCGGCTGCCCGGGGAGGCTCCTCCCCTGCAAACTTCTGCCTTTGCCCGCCACAGGCTGCTGGGCGCTGGGGAGGGGGCGCGTGTCTGCCGAGGGAGTTCACAGTCTGGGGGGATGGACATGAACAGCCCAGCTGCCTATTTCTAGTCTTGGGTACAGGTCTGCGCCCTCTGTACCCAACATTTTAATCCATCCTCAGAGCAGTCCCAAGGTGGGGGGATTTTAGAGATGAGGAGACAGGCTCAGAGAGGGCTGGTACTTGCTCAAGGTCACACAGCCAGTTAGTGTGGAAGCTGCATGGTAGTTCTTCAGTGGTGGCTACGTCAGGGGAGGCCCTGGACTGTGTGGGTGGAGGGGGTAGAGTTGGGGAGAGGCCTCATAAGAAGCAGAGGACCTCCTTGGCTGGGCATCTGGGAGGCTCCCTGGAGGAGGACGTCTTGCATGGGGCCTTGTCAGGTGGTTAAGATCTTGATGGAATGCTGTTCCAGGAGCAAAGCACAGACTGAGCAGAGGTGGGGGCCTCGATGAGCACTGTAGCGGGGTGGGGGGTGGGCTGGCAGCCGTGTCTTGGTGCCCCCAGGGCCTCTCATACCCCTGGAAGACCTGGGGTGGAAGGTGCTGGCTGTGTGGGCACCTCGCTGAAGCTCCGCTGGTTCAACTGGCCCAACCACTTCTCTCCAGGCACTGCCCACTGACCCTGCTCACGGCCCTCACAAGAGTTGTTGGCAAACCCTGGGTGAAGTCTGGGTCAGGAGCCTAGATCCCTGGTCCCGGGGAAAAATAATTAAGGGATCCTGAGCCCCAGACTGCTCTGCCATCTCCTCCAGAAAGCCGGCCCTGATTGTGCCTTCCAACAGAACAATGTCCAAGATACAATTACAGTGTGGTGTGTAGCTCCGTCTGGGGGGGATGAAATTATCCGTGTGATTGCAGGTTCCCCTTGCCTCTGTGAACGTGTCTTCATTTTCCTTTTTTGCTCTGTTTTTCATCAGAGGAGCAATGTGTGTCAGGCCTTTTCTAGGGTTCCGTGTCTCCCTCCCATCTCTCATCCGCCGCCCAGCGCGCCCCCACGGAATTCCCAGAGGTCCCCAGCCAGGGGGCGGGCTGCGGTGCCTTGGCCGACCCTCGCCCCCAGGACCCCGGTCGCGCCATCCGGGACACAGGCGGGCTAAGTCTCCGCCTCTCGCGGACGCAGTCCAAGGCGGGGAGAGGGGGACAGGCCACCGCGCTGCGCCCCAGCCCAGAGGCGGCGCCGGGCCGGCCGCAGGTGGCGGCCGACCCCGGAATAGAGCCGGCCCTTTTATAGCCGGGCCTGTGTCACGCGGCGGGCCGCGCCCCCGCCCCCGGCTCGGAAGGGCTGCCCGGGGCGGGGCCGCCGGCCTGCGGGGGCGCGTGCGCGGCGGCCGGGGCGGGGAGGAGGCGCGGCGGCCGAGCAGGGAGCGGCTGTGCCTGCGGGTCCTCCCCGCCGCCCCGGCCACCCCGGGGGCCGCCCTCCTGGTCAGGGCCGCCCGGAGCCCCGTTTCCCACGGGTCCGGCTGGCCTCCGAGAGCTCCCGCTGCACGGGAGACTGAGGCGCGGGCAGGCGCGGGCCGCGGGCTGCTCGGACCCGCGGGTGTCAGTGCGGGGCCTGGCCTGGAGGAGCGGGTGCTGGTGCGCGTCGGCGCGGGGGTGGTCGGGGCAGAGAGCAGGGACTCGCCCGGGCCTCTCTGCGCCAACGGATCGCTGTTGCCCTGCAACTGCCCGGGCACCACCGACGCCCCTCCAGCCCCCTCCACGCGGCGCGCCTTTGAGGGGCAGGGCTCAGAGGAGCTACAGAGGGACTCAGGCGGGCAGGGCCTGTGAGCGGGCTGCCGGGGCCGGCGGGGGCAGTGCAGGAGCCGCGCGCCCCTGCGAGGACCCCAGGAAAGCCCTGCGCCTCGCCCACCCGAAAGCGCTTTTTCCTTGTCTACCCCAAGTATTCCTCAAGTTTCACCCAAACACAAACGTGCTGAGGACAGAACCCAGGGACTGTTAGCCTGACCTCACGGACTCTGTCTGGCAGTTAACGCCGCTGCAGACTGAGCCTTTCTCTTCCTGCCTCTAGGCCACCCACCAGGCCATCATTACCGTCCTCCCCCGTTCCACAGATTAGGAGGCCAAGGTTAGGTCCCAGGGCAGGGATGCAGCCGCCTGTGCATCTGGCCCTCCAGCCCCTGGCCTGGCACTTCCCTGCCATGTCGCCCAAGGTCATGGACCTCACCTGCCCCTTCCCCAGGGCCTGAGGCTGCAATCCCTGCCTGTGGCCATCTGGCTCACCTGAGGCATGACTGCCGGTTGGAGCCTGTCCCAACTGCCCTTTCCACACACACTGCCCCCGGCAGGACCCCCCAGGCTCAGCCCCCTCCAGCACTCACCAGGCACACCATCCCTGCTGGCCTGGGCCCCCTGCTCCAGAAACATGAGCCCACTCTCCCTTGGCCAGGCCTGTGCCCTGGAGTCATGGGGATGGTCCTGGCTGCCAAAGCTTCAGGGACAAGGGTGGTGATACAGAGAAGCAGGGACAGAGTGAGTGAGAGTCAGAGAGGCCAGGACAAGGACCAGCTCTTGCAGGGATCCCATGGGGGACTCCATCCTGCCCTCGGCTAGGCCGACCCCAGGGACAGAGGCGGGTCCAGGCCCTTTCCAGGTTGGTGGGCTGAGTCCTAGACTTCCTGCGAGGGCCTGGGGGGCCCCAGGGCTCATGGCCTCTGGGTAGGGTAAGGGCTACAGGGGTCAGGGCTCCAGGGGTGAGAGTCTGGACACTGCCCAGAGCTGCCCTGAAGGGCTCATTTCCGTAGCTGCAAACCTGGAGGAGGAAGGGGAAGTACCACTACTGCGTGGCTGCTGTGGGCCCAGCCCTGCTTGGAGATTTATGCCTCATGTCGTGAGAGGCCATCAAGGGCTCTCCCACGGCTGACAGCCTGTGACTCGGCAATGTGACCATACCTGTACCCCTGGCCAGTATGAGCAGAGCCCTCACCAGGTGTCCACCCTGGCAGGGGTTCCACACACACGATCTCATTCAGCCCCTACATGGGTCTGTCCTCAGCCCTTTTCACAGCTGAGGACGCCTCAAGACCAGAGAGGTGTGGTCTCCTGCCTAGAGTCATACAGTCAGCATGTGACAGCCAACGCTTGCTCCCAGGCCTCAGCAGGCCCTTCTAAGGTTGGTACTGGATGGGCTATGGGGGCACAGAAGCAAGCTTGTCCAGACCCTGCCCTAGCCCACCCACATCCCTCCTCTGCCCTCGCCAGGGTGCCTGCACAGCCTCTGCTGCTCTCTGAGCACATCACGCTTCTCCTTAGAGCCCGCAGTGGAGAAAGATTGGCTGAGGCCAGGGTGTGCCCCCAGGCCCTAAGCTGCGTGTGCATGATCCTGAGGGCCAGCAAAGTGCTTCCTGGTGGCTGATTTAAATCCTCGCTCCTGCAACATTAGCCCTGCTCTAAAGCAGTGGTTCTCAACAGGGGGTGATCCCCCCCACCGAGGGAGCATTTGGCAGGGTCTAGAGACATTTTAATCTGTCACAGCTTGAATGGGTGTGCTTCCGACCTCTAGCAGGTAGAGACCAGGGAAGCTGCCCAACACCGCAGAATGCACAGGACGGTCCCGCAACAGAACCGTCTGGCCCCAAGGTCAGTAGTGCTGAGACTGAGAACCCCTGATGTCAAACATGGGCTTTGGAGCCAAGCAGACATTGGACTGAATCCTGCCTCTGCCATTACTAGCTGCGTACCCTTGGGAAAGTCTCTTAACTTATCTTAGAGGTTGTCCACTCATCCCTAAAAATGGCACAAATGGTGGCCTTCCCCTTACAGGGTCCTGAGGACTGCCTGGGTGGCACACATCCAATACAAAGCCCAGGGCCTGGCACCAGAGACGTTCCATCAGGGATGGTTCTTCTTTCCATTTCGCAGGGGGAGCCTAGGGCATGGGAGCTAGGGGCTGGTAGCTCCCCAAGGGTCAACCTTTCCTGGTCCTCCCTCCAGAGGTCCTGGCACAGGGGGTCCCTATCATTGATGTTGAGCAAGAGGTAGGGTTGGCCACTGTGGACCTGGAGGGAGGAGCCAGAAGGAAACCTGATCCCAGGTGGGCAAAAGTCACCCGAAGCTCACCTTGCTCACCCTTCCCTGCAGCCCAACCCCAGGGAAGCCATGGCGTGGGGTCAGCCAGGACCAGGACACAAAACACACTAATGAATACAGTCCCCTAGCTTAGGGAAGGGCCATGGGTTCACAGTTGGACACCAGGCAGAAGTGGCATTTGGGTGGCCACACCAAGACAGGCTGGAGATATGGGGGTAGGTGGGAAATGACATTTGGGCCCAGGGAACAGCACGTTCAAAGATATGCACAAGGCCTATTTCCATATGACAGCATGCTGTGGCCAGAGGGATCCAGCTTAGTGGAAGGAGCCCACCCCATCGGGGTAGGAGACAGGCATCAGAACTGGGAACCTGGGCATTAACTGGATTTCAAACTAGGCCCTTCCTGGGTGGAGGGCACCAGTTCCCCACCCTCCCTGTGGTGGGAAGACTCATTACAATATTCCTCTTTCCAGCCAGGAAAGCTTCCTCCCCACACTTCAAACAGAATTCCGGAATCCACATCTTGGCCAGGGCACTCCATCCCTGGAGGTCTTACCCCCTCCCCCAACCCTGCAACCCACCTGGTCTGGTCCCTTCTCCCCCATCTTCCCCAACCCATCGTTCTCCCACCTGAGCAATATGGCAGCCCCTCTGCGCGCATCTAGCCCTTCTCTTCTCTGGCAGCCTCTCTGGCCTGTCCACGCCCCCAGGAGCCCACTGTATTCTAACAGCTGTTGCACCTGATCCTCGCCATGGTCTCTCTGCCTCGGGGCCCCTGTCAATCCAGGCCTCCTCAGGGATGGCCCCCATTCCATCCTCCCCTCAGCATCATCTGGGAAGAGCTGTTGACGAAGACTCTCCCCTCCCCTCTTCGAGTTCCTGCAGGAGGCCTGGGACCTGGAACTCTCTTCTTTGCCCCTAGAAGATGACATGTCTTAGGATTATTAGCCATCACTTTGGCTTTATGAGCTTCCGGGGCAAGGGAATGGACTCTCTGGGCCCCACTCTATCCCCAGACTTCAGGCCCGGAGGATACCCAGTGAATGAATGAATGAGTTATGCCTGACAACCAAGTCCCAAGTCTGGAGGGGGAGCTCAGGCGCCCGCCAGGGTAGATGCGGAGCTCTGGCCAGTGGGGGCAGCAGAGCGGAAGACTGGAATTTGGGGTAGGGGCTGCTCCCAGGATAGCCCGGCCAGCAGCGGGGGGACAGCTGCAGCCTCCCGCCCTGGAGTCTTCCCAGCTCCTCCCGAGCAAGACCAGGGCCGGCCAGCCAGCCGGCCTGGCGGCGGGCACCGAGCCCGGACGCGTCCGCACTCCAGCCAACAGGAAGAGAAAGAGCGAGGCCTGGCGAGGCTGGCCAGCTGGCGGGTGGGGAGTCCCGGGCGTGGGCGCCGGGAGCCGGGGAACCCCCGCGGGCGCCTCCTCGGGCTCGGGCCGCGGGGCTAGGGTGGGGAGGGCGCACCCCGGGCCTCGGCGCCCTCCTCCGCGGAGCGGACGCCTTTTGAGCGCCGGTGCGCGCTCTCCGGCGGGCCAGGAGTCGTGCGGGAACCGAACGCCCGAACGCGCTGCCGCCCCCCTTCGGGCCGCGCCGGGGGACCCCGCTGGGCCAGCGGGGCGGGGCCCCGGGGGGCGGGGCCGGTCGGCACCTGGGTGAGGTCTCGCCGCCCCACCGCCTCGCACTTCCGTGTGCAGCAGCGCGCAAGCGGGAGGCGGCGGCGCCGGGTCCCCGAGAGTCCCCCGGCTTCGCCCGCCGCGCGCCCGGCGCTCAGGCGGCTTCCCCCGGCCGCCGGGCCCGTCCCGGTCGGCCCACTCCGCCCCGCCGCACGCCCCGGACCGCGCGGAACAGGACCGGGCGCCGCGACCCTGCCCCTGGCCCCGCGCGGAGGTGAGTGCTGGCCGGGAACCCCGAGGGCGCTTCGGCCCCGCAGCGCTCCCGTTCCTGTCCCGAAACCGAGGAACTGAGCGGCGGCCAGCCGGGCCCCCCGCTCCGGGACCGCCGATCCTCTCCCCGCCGCCGCCCGCTCCCCCTTGTCCTCGCCCGTCTGCCCGGCTCCTGGCCGCCCGTGCCCCCAGGGCCCGGGGCCGCCGTCGCGCGCGAGTCCCCGGGCCTCTGACCGACCATCGCCCCCACACTCCCCGCCGCGTCCCGGTCCTTCCCTCGCGGCCGGACCGGCCAGTCCATCGCCCCCACTGCCGCGCCCCCGGGCCGGACTCCGCGCCCACGCCCCCCGTCCCCCAACGCCGGGGCCACGCCAGGCCGCCCGCCTGGCCTCGCCGCCCGCTCCGGGGTCCCTGCCCGGCCGGCACGGCGCCTCCGCCCGGCTCTGCCTTCTTTCAGTCCCGGTCTCTCTCCCAGTGTCCCGGCTGGGCGTGGCTCCAGTCTCTACCCCCCCTCCCGCCCCGCCTATGCCTCCCCCCAGAACCCCATTCCCCGGTGGCCCCTTCCAGGTCGCGTCAGTCCCGCCCCCAGCCCCCCAGCCCAGACAGCACCCCCCGCGGGGCCCAGCAGGTGAGGGGAGGGCTGGCGGGCCGGGATGAGAAGCAGGAGGTGGGACCGTCTGAACCGCCCCTTTCCCCCCCCCGACTGCCCCTGTGGGGGAGGAAGGGTTTGGGGAGTGGAGGGATGTCCCCTTCTCTCTGGCCCCTACCCTGCGTGCATGGACCCTGTCTCCTCCATGCTGAGTCGCCAGTATTAGCCGTGTAGGGATTCTGTGTGTAGTATCTCCTCGTGTGTTCTTTGCCTCTTTGTCTGGGACTCAGCCCTGATGTCCTTTCCCACATGTGTGACTTGCCTGTGTGTGTCTTTTGGGTGTCCTGAGCCGTCCATGCTTTCGCAGCTGTGTGTGGACTAAGTCTTGGCATGTCCTTTGTCACCAGGCTCCCCTCTCTGTGTTGGGGGGGTCCTGTGTGTCTTTTTGTGCCTAGAGGGTCTTATGTTGCACATGGGGTGTGTACACTGGCCACGAGCACACTCGAGCTGTTCATTGTGGGAGCCTGTGGTGTTAGTGTCAGCCCACCCGGCTGTGTCTGAGTGTGTGTGTGTGTGTGTGTGTGTGCGCGCGCTCACTTGTTCTTCCTCCGGCTGCCCCTGAGCCGCTGTGACTAGGCTGATCTGGGCCCTGGGGTTTCCTTGTTCCTGCTGTGGACTGAGCTGGGTGTGGTGGGCAGGTTGGGGAGTGTGTGTGTGTGTGTGACTGTGTGAGATGTGAAGGCGTTGGACAGCTGTCTGTACCTGACTGTCGGTGGTGAGGGATCCGCTGTGTGACAGGGCTGGGGGCAGGCTCGCCGCATGAGGGATGACTGGTGGGACACTCACAGTCTGACTGTGTGAAACTGAGTGTGTGCTCTGGGGGCGTCACCGCTCATGGGGAACCGAGAGTGCTTGGCTTGGGAGCCAGAGGGGCACCACAAGGTGCGTGGTGCCCACACCCTGGGGACGGTGACAGCACCGGTCTGAATCAGCGCGGGAGGGTGCGGGTGTGGCCAGGCTCCTGGGATGCGGGCAAGGGCTCTCTCCCTCACCTTCCTCTTCCCCGCCAAGTCAGCAGACCCCAGAGGGCAAGTCTCGAGGCTTTTGTGGTATTGTGACCAAGGCCTAGGGCTCTGGGCAGGAAGGACTTGGCCTTCGTACTTGACCTTCCGAGGCTCGGTTTCCTTATCTGCAGAATGGAGAAAGTTGTGTCACTAGGGGTCCTGTGTCAGACGTCCTTTAGCACAAGCTTGGACCGTGCTCAGAGCTCAGCGTCTGCTTAGTCCTGTTTAGTGACCTCTCACTGGCCCTCCTCCCAACTGCAGGGTCCCTATTCTCCTGGAAGGTGGGGCTAATAAAGGCCCTGAGAGTCCCCAACCCTGTTTCCTGCCTACCATGTCATGTGGCCGTTGCCCCCTATCATCCCTTTGACCAGACTGCTTGTGGATGGGTAGACAGCGACAGACCCCCCACCCCAGCATCCAACCTCAGCAGCGATGGGGGGAGAGAAGAAGTGGGGGCTGAGGGTGATTCCAAGCTGTGGTTGTAGGGTACTGACACCATTTAGCTGGCACAGCTAATTGGAATTTAAATTAAAATTAGAATCTACTTAAGGTACAGACAGAAAGATACAACCTCAGGATGCCTCAGCCTCCAGGGAGTGGTGACAGGGGTCTGCAGCTGGAGGAGGGACTCACGTCTGGGGAGGGGACTCTTGTGGAAGCTTGGCCTGGCTGCAGAAAAAGTGCTCAGGACTTTCAGGTAGGAGACCTGGGATACCTTGCTGCCTTTGCCACTCATTCCTTCTAGGACCTCTCTGGGCCTCAGTTTTTTCAGCTGTGTAATGGGCATGACAGTCATACAAGAATTACCTGGGTCCAGCGCAGGAGCTGGAACCCCACATCACTGGAGCCTCGGAACCCCCAGGGTGATGTGTTCCCCATTTTAAAGACAAGACAAACTAAGGCTCAGAGGAATTGCCCCAGGACTCCCAAGGTCTCCCAAGCCACAGGGCAAGCTCTTACCGACAGCAGGGTCAGGGACAGCTTTCTTGCGCCGTCTGTACCCGGGAAACATTCCAAGGGCTGAGACACGGTGTTCTGACCCCTGTCATGGGGTGGACACTCAGCCAGCGCCCTGGGAGAGTTGGGCCCGACACCCTGTCTCAGAGAACAGAAAGCCAGGCCCAAAGAGGCTGAGGGCTCAGGCCCAGGAGGCCGAGCCAGGCCTGGGCTGCTTTGCTGGGCTGACTGCTGGGGGAGCCTGCCTGGGGTGCCTCCCAACTCAGCTTTTCTCTTATTCCTGCAGGTCTGCTGGGAACTGGCCCAGGTGAGGGTGGCAGGCCTACTTCTCCCGGTGGTTTTCGTGTGGTCGTGGCTGCAGGAGCAAGGACTCAGGGCAAGGGGGAGCTGGGAGCCCCAGGTAAGACTTGGTCTTAGGTGGGCAGGGTGCTGGGTGGCCCTCGCCGTGGGCTCCTCCCCTCCTGCCCTGGGACTCAGTAGAGTGGGGGGCAGGGCAGGTAGAATTCTTGGTCTGGCTGTGGGGCTGGGGCCCAAAGGGCTCCCTTCCTGGCACTGGTTCTGGAACTGGCCTGTGGCCCAGGGACCGTGGAGCTCAGAGGCTTGGGGCCCACTGGTGGTTTGGGGCAAGAAGTGGTGGCGCTTTGTTGGCCGGTTAGAAGGCCGTGTGTGAACCGAGTGTGGAGGTCGATGTATCAGCTTTTCCAGGGAGCTTGTGCCTGCCTTAGGCTGTCCTCATCATCACACGGGGAGACTGAGGTCAGCCCAGGCCCCACAGCCGGTGCCCACTGAGGTCTCCCAGCTCCTGGCATGGCCAGTCTCTCTTCCATGGCCCAGCTTCCCCCCCTGCCCAGCCCCCACATTCAGGGTGAGCTGGGCAGAGTCTCTAAGGAAGGCTGGGGGAGGCTGCACTCTCTGAGGCCCCCTGTAAAGCTAGAAACTCCTTTCTCCGGGGCCTCTTTCAGCCTCCATCGCAATGAGAACAGCCCCGTGAGTTTCCCACTGAGGGTCCAAAGTCCAGCAAGCAGGATTCTGGGGTGTGTGTGTGCTGGTGGGGGGCAGTGTGCTAAGGGCACCTGGAACCTAGAGAGTGACGGTGGGGAGGGCTGGCAAGGTGGTCTTTACTCCAGGAATCCTCCCTGGTCAGCCTCCCGCTGCTCCCCTACTGGCTGTCAGGCACCAACAGGTCTAGGGATGATCAGACAGTGGGAGCTGGGCCTCTGAACCTAAGTCTGGGGAGGGGTGGGGGAGCGGGAGGTCAGGGCCCTCACTTCTCAGATAGGAGTATGGCCCCAACAAGGGCAGGATCTACGCCCGCCCGCCCGGTGGGCGGGGGGAGGTGCTCTGTCCTCATCTGGCTGGGGGCCTCTGCTTTCTGAGGTCAGGGGGCTGTCCCCTTCCGGCAAGAACTCCAATTCATGTGACTAGGAGCCAGCCCGTGTGCAGCTGGCAGACCTCACCTCCCTGGCTGGCAGGCACAGGCTCACCCAGTGTGGACACCGGAGCTGCACCCAGCAGCTGTGCCAGCAGACCCACCAGAGCCTTGCACACACACCACACACATGCACGCGAGCACACAGGCATGTTCCAATATGTACCCAGGTGCTCACACAGTCACCAGCGCACCCAGACGCCTGCCCGCACACACCACAGTGCCCATTCTGGGTCAGGAAGGGGGCTCCCTGGGGTCACAGCCCAGCCTGCGTCTGTCACTGCGGGTGAGGTCTGAGGTGTGGCTGTGACCACAGGCACTCCAGAGGGCTAGGCCACCTGAACGGTGGGCTTTGCCCAGGACTCACCCCAGCTACCCTGCCCTTCTGGGCCAGGCCCCCACCCCTATCCATTGACCAGTGGTCAGCATTTGGGGGGGTGCATGGGTATGGGGGAGGGGCCAGCTGCACAGCACCATTTGTGGGTGCTGCCGCAGAGGAGGAAGTGGGCTGCCTGTGGCCACTGGGCCAGGGTGCCTGCAGGTGGGCAGGGTCCTGTCAGCAACACCGACCCCTGCAGTGTCCATGCTGGCAGGAGTGGAGTTGCTAGGCTCTGGGACTGGGACAGGCAGGGTACTTCTACTGAGGCGGTCTGTGCACTCCCAGAGCCTGGGCCCAAGGCAGAGGCCCATCCATCCGAGGTGTTTCCGGAGGCTCACTTCCTCTGGCTGCCCAGGAAGTGGTTTCAGAGCGAGACTGACCAGCTCCCTCGGAGGCTTGCCCTGTCCTGGCCTTGCCTGTGAGGGGCAGCAGCATCTGGCCAGTGGATTAGGCCGACTGGCCATGTTTTCCGCTGCCAGGGCTGGCCAGGCCTTGAGGGAGGCTCAGCAAAGTGTGGTGTGGCCCCAGAGCTCTAGGCTCAGATTTTTAGCTCTGGTGGACATGGCCCCTCATGTGTGAGGGGTGATAGCTGGGCTGCATCTCTGGGCTTAGGCAGCTCCAAGCAGCTGTGTGAGTGAACCTGGGCAAGTGGGTTTGATGCCCAGTGCCTCGGTTTTCCCTCTGAGCAGTGAGCCAATAATAGCCTCCATCTTTATGAAATTGTGCCATAAACAACAGATAATGAACACAAAGTAGCTAGCGTGGTGCCTGGCACATTGTTAGTGTTTAAGGAGTGGAAACTGTAGTTATGTAAAGCGCTTAGCACTGGGTTCGTGGCAGCTGCGCAAAGCCCAGCAGGCAGTGCTGATGAGGGGTTATTAGTGTCTGCGGGCCTGGCACTGGCCCAGCATCCCAGGGCCAGGTGGCAGCGGAGCCCACCGAGGAGCCAGGTCTCCAGCTTCTGGTCCCCTGCCTCTGGGCTGTGGGCTGGGAGGCAGTAGGCTCAGAGCCCTCGGCGGAGGGGAGCACTGGGTGGGGCGGCTGCGCCCGCTTGGCAACCCAACCCCTGCGGCCTGTTCCCCCCTCACCCCCTTTCAAAGGGAGGAAAGTAAATCTCACGGCAAATGCAAGCAGGAAAGGGAAGGCAGGCCACAGCTGCCCACTGCCCCCTCCCGCCACCCCGCGGCCCCTTCCCCTGCTCGGGGCCCCCACAGGACACTGGGCTTGGGGCAGCCGAGGCTGGCCACGGGGGTGGAGGTGAGCCCTCCTGCCAGGCCGCTCACCCTTAGGACTCCTGGAGTCAGCCTTTGGGCTTGGGAAGGGGGTGGACATGTGGGCGGATGGAGACTGGAAGAGTGGGGGAGCTAGAAGTGCCCCCGGTACACATCCACCCATGCATATGTCCTTGACATGTGGTAGCTGGTGGCAGGGGCCTGCCCATCCCATGTACCTGTTAGGCGGCCAGCCAGGGAGGGTTGCGCTGAGTGTGGGCCTTCACTCTCCAGGGTGAAGAGACTGGCCTTGGGTGTCAGAGCACAGGGATGGTGGTGCAGTGGGTGGGCTGGGGGGCTGGGGGGCTGCAGAGTCACAGGGTCCGGGCTTGGCCATGAGTGAGGGCATTCTGAAGGTTTAGGAGCAAGACCTCTGCAGGCGTCAGGCAAACCTGCAGGCCCTCTCTTGGTGTTTGCTCTCTGGGTGCTCTTGAGCCAGGGACTGGCCCCTTTTGAGCCTGGGGTGTCTCAGCTGTGAAGCGGGAAGGAACCTGGCTCAGGGAACCAAAGAGAGCCACTATGGCTGGGCAGAGGGGTGAGGGAGGGCAGCAGCCAGGGTGGGCATGGAGGCGGTGGGAGTGGGCTGGGGGGCAGGCCAGGAGAGGAGTCTGGGCTCCTTGGAAGGGAAATGGGGAACACCGGGGACCTGCTTTACTGTTTTAAAAGACATGCCCAGTGGTGGGGGCAGAGGACCTGCGGGGCCACAGCAGAGGCTGGCAAGCGTGAGTGGGTGGTGCCGAGCCTGGGGGGGCAGCCGTGTCAGGATGGGGGTGGTGGTGGAGAGAAGACAGACAGGCCTTCAGGACAGACTGCAGAGGCAGAAAGGGGGAGGACACAAGAGACCCCTGTGTCAGCCTGATTTCAGGGGAGCACTGGCCCTGCTGGAGACGATGGGCACTGGCAGGGGCGCATCAGGAGGCCTAGTTTGGGCGCTTGTGAGCATCTCTAGAGCATCTGAGGTTGGAGAGATGGGTGGGTGCAGGAGCCTGGAGTTGAGGAGGATCTGGGTGGAAAGTGGAGATATGGGAGTGGACAGGCAGCTCAGGAGAACCTGGACTGGGGATGAGGGTTCAGGCTCTGGTGGGGAAGATTGAGAGGCCCTGGGCACAGGGCTGGGGTGGCTGTCCTCGAAGGTCCCTGCCAAGGCGCCTCGGAGGGCAGGCTGCGGTGGCTGAGCTGCTGTTTTCACAACAGCCCCAGAAGCTTTAGATCATGTCTATGGCTGTGTTGGGTAAACAGGCCCCAAGGAGTGGCCAGTTGCCAGAGCCACTGGATCTGAGGTCCGCTTGGTGTGGGCTGCCGCAGGTGGGGTGGGCTGGGAGAGGAGGAGGGTCGCAGGGTCTTCTGGTACCAGGGCTAGAGAAAGCTTCCAGGTCCCCACTGTAGACGGGAGACGAAGGCCCTGGAGAGCAGCCCTAGCCTGGCCCGTTCTCCTCCCAAGGCAGCAGACGCGAGCAGGGACCACGGGGTGGAATGGCGTTAGAGCACCCCGGTGCCCACTGATCCTAGGAAGTTCCGAGTCCCCTAAGGTTACAGGACAGCTGGGAGTGGGGGGTGGGGTGGGGGTGCGGGGCCATGTGTGAGGATGACGGTGGTGGTAAGGGTGGTGATGGCAGCTGCTGAGTGCCAGGTCCCACACTCAGCACACCCCCAGGCAGGGCAAGGTCATCCCTTGGACAGACAAGGACGCCTCAGCATCCTGGCCAAGCCAGCAGGCACCCTGGGCAGACCAGACCTGAGCTAGACCTGTCCAGCCCGCAGCCAGGCCGCTCTGCAGCCCTGTGCACCCCCGTCCTGTCTCTCTCCCTGCTTTCCCCAGCTCCCTAAAGCAGGGCAGCCCTGCTACCTTCATGAGGACACATGGCAAAAGACTTAAGTGGCCATCTTACTTTTTCCCAAACACAAAGATTGTCATCAACAATGAGGAAAATAGAAGGGACTAGGCGAATGCTTCTGTGGGTGCACAGAAGACACGCTGAGGCGAGGACCTGGGGCCCCATCCCGTGGGGCTGGTGGAGCCACCGTCCCCACCCCCCTGACATATACCCTCATGTCGCTGGAGGCCAGATGGGTCATGCCAGGCTTAGAGCGAGAGGGGCCCTCTCCAGCCCCCTGCCCTGCTGGCTTCACAGCTTTGGGTGGAGTGTGGGGTAGAGGGTGCCCTCTCCCTGTCCAGTTCCATCCCAGTGTGCACTCCGTGGAGGTCATGTGTGGGGTGCCCCGCATGACTGTCCCCCTGCACAGGTGCAAGGCCCCCCTTCTGTGCACCAAGCCTGTGACTGCCACCTGTGCCCAGCCTCGGCCTCTGTTGACTTCCCCTC